GTTTTGGAACAGGCTAGTGACTTTATGAAATTCCCGGAAAAAGTGGTTCCATATTCATAAGTTGTGCCAAGTTACATTATATATTAACCCTCAACATTGATATGGGTGTTGCTATTACATATAATTGGTCTGATTTTCACATTATCCACACTTGCAGGAGGTTTAAAGGCCATTTTGACAGATCAAAATAAATTGGTAGTTGCTGTTGGTGGAATTACTGCTCTAGCTGCTGGGATTTACACGACAAGGTATGGTATTAATGCTAAAAGGTTTTGTTTATTTCTGTAGAAAATGTTCCCTGGAATAACTTGAAAGTCTCTTGCCTTGTGAGTCTTGACCCGAATAGTTTATTTAATTTTCTTACTACTTTATTTGCTGCATTTTGTTTTTCCATTTTTTAAGTGTTTATTGCCCATTTTGGGATAAAGACTTTTAATTTTTTTGTATTTATATTTTTCGATTTGAATCATTTGAAAGTACCTGGAGTTTGGATTTTTCTGTTTGGAGGTCTACTTTCTTTTGTATCCTTTCCTAATAAGAGGGAAGGTTCTTTGACAGATTCAGAATTTTGCTACTCTTTGGGGCATCTACGGCAGAAATTTTTTTTGGGGATAGGTTTTTGCTGAAGAGGGAGGTGCGGAGTTTTATTTACTACAATGCCTCGCTCTGTGCTTCCACCACTCTGACTTTAGGGCCAGTATTCTTTTGATTTTAGATAATGGGGGAGATACTTGTTATGGGATTACATGTTTTGGCCTTTATATAGAACTCTAGCCTCTTTCTTTGGGTTTTCTTGATGTCCTTTTCCTCTTGGTGCCTTGAAACCTCTTGTGTTCTTTCAATTTATTCAATTAATATTTTGTTTCTCTTCATTAATAAGTGAAAATAAAATAAAATCATTCAAGAATAAACTATATAATCTTCCCAGTCCCCAGAAGATGAGCAGATGGTTTTTACAGTTTCAGAATTCATTTGTCACTAAACAACTTCATGGAATATTTTGTAGAAGCTGACTTTTCGTTCATGAGGTTTCTTTTATGCTATTAGGAAGAATTGTTGTTTCAATTTTCATTGTGTTTTTTTTGTTACTTTTCTATGGTTATTGTGAAATGTTCGTGGTTAGGACAGGTTGCTTCACTATCTGGTATTCTACCCAAATGTGTAAATAAGTTTATTTCCTGCTGCTTGACTGACACTAGTGAGGCAGTCATCATGAACCGTATCCTGGCATATTTTATGCAGCTTTTATCATTTTATTTTCTTATTTTGTGCTCCTAAATTCTACCTGTGCATCATTTTAATCTGGTTAGTTCTATACCATTTGCATTCTGGACGGTCGTTCAAGTTTCATGAAATTTATGGTACTCAGCGTATCATTTTTTTGATCCCCGTTTGCTGACTGCAGAGCTTATGGCTTCCTCTTTTCCTTACTGTAGAGAAGGTGCGAAGGTGATTTGGAGCTATGTGGATAGAATATTAGGTCAGCCGTCACTGATTAGAGAGTCTTCTCGTGGGAAATACCCTTGGTCGGGATTGTTCTCACGAGCCATGAGCACTGTATCACGTGGTTCGGATAAGGGGTCTTCCTCAAAAAGTGGAAACGGGTTTGGAGATGTGATTTTACACCCTTCACTCCAGAAGCGGATAGAACAACTTGCGAATGCTACTGCAAATACGAAGTCTCATCAGGCCCCATTTCGGAATATGCTTTTCTATGGCCCTCCTGGAACAGGAAAGACAATGGCTGCAAGGGAGCTAGCTCGAAAATCTGTAAGAGTTCTTCTACATCTCTTGCTAAATTGTTGACAGCTTTAAAGTTCAGATTCAACATCAAATGTTAATATTTCTAAGCACGATCAAGAATGTTCATTCTGTTTGCTCTTGACAGAACTTCAAGCTCATGGTAGTATTATATCAAATGGATTTTTGGCTTTTAAAATGGACCTTTATGTGGTGAAGATTTTCACATTTTATTCCTAAAACTCTAGGAATCAGTTGATGTAGCCAAAGAATCCACTGTTTTGGCTATAACAAGAATTTTTGGAATTCCTTGGAGATTTTTGATCGTTCAGAGTGTTCTGCCTTAGAGGGAAGTGATTCTGGGTTGCAGACGAGTTGCAGCCTACCAACTCCAAAATGACATTTTCTTTTGATTCAATAGACAACTTGGATCTGGTTTTTATGTCCTTTCTAGTAGTAGTATACATACATTTCAGATTAACATGTGCAATTTCCTTATTCTTGTCAAGCATGGGAATTCTTGACTTTGAACTTTGTTGTCAGGCACTTGAACTTCTGTTGGTAAAGTTGATGATTTTCAGGCTAGTTAAATAACCAATTTTAGCAATCAATCTTTTGCTGATGTGATGAGAATTCCGACATTTTATTTTCTTATTTACTGTGAAATATCTACCATCACTGATTTTTWTTCCTATGCTCGTAGGGACTGGATTATGCATTGATGACTGGAGGAGATGTTGCTCCTCTGGGATCACAAGCTGTTACTAAGATACATCAGTTATTTGATTGGGCTAAGAAGTCACGGAAGGGTTTACTGCTTTTCATTGATGAAGCAGATGCATTTTTATGCGAGTAAGTCAAACTTGCTTAGTACAAATAAATATCCATTTTTCTTTATTCACTTATTTTTCTATTTCGTTAATCATGTTTGTAATGAGCCATAAATTATCAATTGTAAGGCTTCAATCTTATGCTATACATATATTGTTTCTCAAATCGTAGATCTTATGATCTCACAGAAATTAGTATTATTGAGAACTTTTCCTTTGCAAGTTTTCTGATTGAGGTGATGAAAATGCAATCACTATCACTGTAATTGAATATTGTCTCAATTTGCAGGCGAAATAAAACATATATGAGTGAAGCCCAAAGAAGTGCACTCAATGCTCTTCTTTTTCGCACGGGTGACCAGTCAAAGGATATTGTTCTTGCTCTTGCTACGAATCGGCCTGGTGATCTTGATTCAGCTGTCGGGGATCGTATTGACGAAGTCCTCGAATTCCCTTTGCCCGGGGAAGATGAACGCTTCAAGCTGTTAAAGCTCTATCTGGAAAAATATATAGCAAATGCCGGAGCAAGGAAGTCTGGTTTGTTCCAAAACGTTTTTAAAGGACAACAAAAGAAGATAGAGATCAAAGGGTTGACGGATGATATTGTTCGGGAAGCCGCTGCAAAAACTGAAGGATTTTCTGGGAGAGAAATAGCAAAGTTGATGGCGAGTGTACAAGCGGCTGTTTATGGCAGCGAGACGTGCGTGCTTGATCCGAGCCTATTTCGCGAGGTGGTAGATTACAAGGTTGCAGAACATCAACAGAGAAGGAAACTTGCTGCCTCGGAAGGAGGCGGTGTGCAAAATTGAAGGTACTTATAACGATATTATACAGGCTTAATACTTTCAGATGAGGAAAATTGACTTAATTGTGTCAAGTCCGTTACTTTAGAGGCTGCCCATTCATTGATGAGGGAAATTTTGTATTTCTCTGATGTGAGTTTCCATTAGATTTGAGTGGTATTGGTACCACTTAAAATATCATTTGTTAATTGAAGTTTTGGAGGTCATGTAGAAGATCCATAAGAGCTTCTAACAAGTTAAATGAAATAATGAATGCGTAGGATATGTTCATGCTGTGTGCAAATTAACTGTTCTTAACTCAAAGGATTAAACTCGAGATTGCGTAGAGCTTCCACTGATGGGTCGAATAAGTTTTCATTCTCAGTAATGCTAATGTCTAAAGACTCCCATACTTTTCTTGGTTGGGTCAATTCAATTGTCATTTTTTAGAAGTATTTCATTTATAATGGATAAGGAGTGTAGTTCGATTTTGTCTCTTATCTATCGCTAAAAATATTTGAAGAACATGCAAAAGGGAGACTAAGAGACGAATACCATAAATTTATGAATGTGCTACCATCTGTTCCACAGATTTACCAAAAATATAGGGCAGGTAAAAGAAAGTGGACAAGTAAACAAACGTATCCTCTCTTAAAAGAAAACATAAAATTTTGTTCACAAAATATGTCATTCTATCATAGGTCATATGTCTATCATGTCTTTAACTAAATTTTGTCAACATTTGTTTAATAAGCATATTACATGAAAATGATTCTAACAAAGATACCAAAATTTAAGAACTTAATTAATTTTTTAAAAATTCAAAGTTTAAATAGATAACTATCAAAATTTAGGATCAAGTTTATAATTTATTTGTCTTTTTTTTTTTGTCATACAAAATGATTCTAGTTGAAGGTTCATGGAAGTGGATATGAGATAAAGTCGAATTGGTGTCGACCATTAATAACGTTTAAAATCTTTCTCAATCAATTGAATAAAGAGTGCTAGTTGTGGAATTTGTTTGAGATAAAGTGATGATTACGTCGTACGATTTAAATAAAACATGAATTATTTTTATATATTTAATAAAAATATCATAATTACATAAACAATCTCTCTTAGACTAGGGGTCTCGTTAGCTCAAACTTCAAACTATTACAATTGTATCTCTAGAGTTAGATAATTATTATAATAAAATCCGTAAAAATAACTATTATAATTGTATCTCTAAATTTGGAAAAATAATTACCCGAAAATGAAACCGAAAAACAGAAGATTGAACAAGAATAAAGATAGATAAATGGGTGAATGTAGAGAAGAGACGAGAGAGGGGTAGTTATATATAAATTTCATTAATGACTTTCATTATATTTAGTTAGCTTATTGCTGTTGTTTTAGTTTTCTTAAAAGTTTTATGACTTCAATACATGATTTTTTTTATCGGTGAAAAAAGACATGGTAGTAGGCCAATGGAAGACTTCAAAGTTTGGAGAGTGCAAAATAAACCCTTGGCTAGAGCGCTTAGGCGCTGAATAAAAAATGAATATCTACAACGAAAATAGTGAAAATTTTCCCCAATACAGCAACGCAACAGGTAGATTATATTTATGAAATGGCTAAGAAAGGAAAAGGTACTCATTTCAAGCTTGCATCTTCAAGATATCAAAAACCTTTTATTGGTAATCAAGTCAACAAGATAAGTCATTAAACAAATGCATTCCAACAATGAAACAAATTTGGCAAAGACAATGGAACCCTGTTAAAGTGTGAGTGAATGGAGTTCTCAAATTCCTATTTATGCAGGCAGGAGTACAACCATTACAGCCATTGCATTACAGAAGTCAAATTTTGAAAAGGTAGGATATCGTCTTTCCAAGTTTAGGGTTTCTGGGTCGAACGATGACTTACAGATTTTCTAGTGGTGATGATCCTGAGTATAGCGCAGGCCACAGTACTTGCACACGGCGGGCTCCTCCCGGTCCAGGCATATGAACTCGATTGGATGCCCAAGGGCAGGATTGCTGTCTACAGCCAGTAACAGTTTGAATCCAAATAAGTAATAGAAAGTGATTTGCTTTGAAAATATGCACACATGAATACATGTACAGACTTACCTCCCTCACAAGCAATGATACGGCCTTCGACCTTGATTGGTGGAACCTCATTGATCAACTCCATGGGAGATTTCTTACTTGTATCCTAGAGATGGAAATAAAATAAAGTTTTCATATATCCTAGTGCATCATATAGGATCATAAAGAGTAGAATTTAGTACCAGAAACTGGTAGAATACTTCTTAAACAGAAACAAGTATCAATCTAAAAYAAAAGCCGGTGGTACAGGAAGAGCACACATGTTATTCAAACATGTTATAACTACCATGTCTCCACAATCAGTAGAACTTGATTGACCCTCAATAATGGTATAGAAAGTATTTTGAAGTCATGMCTAAGAAAAATCAAGATCCAAACGTGTCAAGCAATGTATCGATTATCAAAAGAGAGCTGTAATCAAAACTAGAAATGTGGGAAAAGACACGAAGCTTAAAAAGGAATTTTCCAGCTTAAAACATAGTCATCCATTAACAAYTATCATTGTTAATAATATAGTGAAAGAGAACCGATACATACGATTAACCCCAGTATAAAAATGAAGGGTTGCCAATTGGCAACACTCTGCACMCAAAATTAACTTTATTCGTAACATCTAATAAGTTTACTTCACCAGTGCTTGAAATTCCTAATATTTCAGAGTTGCTCTTAAAGTCATGGAATTGAGCTTATAGACAGTAAAAATTTTGACTGGTGTTTTTTTTATTTGAGAAACCAACATTCACTAAGAAGAATGAAAAGACACAKATAAGTTGGCTGAAAAGGCCAAACCAAAAGCGGGGAGTTACAGAAATTTACAACACAAAAACTCCAACTTTTGGTAATAAAAAAAATTACAATTACAAAATAAAATATGCTAAATCCTTAAATATCATCCCACCAGCTATCTCACCCCACTAACGTTCTTCTGTTCTTCAACTCCTCTCTAGTCAGATCTTTCATTTTTTCTCAGTGGAATTAAGGTTTTCCATCAAAAACTTCCTCTCAATACAGATAAACAGACAGAGGCAAAGAAGCCAGCCTGCCAAAGAAAGCTTTTCCCACACAAAAAGAAAATCCTGTGTTTATCCACTGTGTCGTGAATGCTCAACCCCAAACAAACAATCCAAAACTCTACCACAAATGACCAAAACTCCAGGAGAGAGAGAACATAACCACAAAACACAATTTAGATCATCTGCCCCTGCACCTACACAAGACACCAATTCGAGCTCAAGAGGAGGCACTCTGCAAATGATTGGGAGCAAGATATGTATAAAAATGTCACTTCACAATAAATATGTGGGATAGATCTCTAAACTCTTTTGGTGTAAGCTTGGCTCAATGCATGGATTATTGTTCCATGATGGAGAGAAAGTAGTTCCACCTACATTGGTGGTAAATGGACAGTTTTGGGGCAAGCAGCTTCTTTATATGTTTGGTTGGAAAGAGATAGGAGGGTTTTCAAAACGGTTAAAGTATTTTTGGAAGGAGGTGTGAGGATTGACCTATTTTAATCCCTCTGTGCTTTTTTTCTTCCMTTTATCTGAATACAAAAGAAAATCTTAAATGATTCGAATAACAGGCTTGTGAAGTTCAATTAGGGGTTGAGCAGGTGACTACAAAGAGAAAGATATATAGAGAAACAGCTAAAGCTGAGGAACGGTTGTGAAAGATTATGTAAAAATATTCTACCGTATGTTCTCTGATAATCTTCAATTACATATAAAACCCACAGAACTTGGAGAAATTAAGATGTAGTCCAAACCCGGGAGGGAAGAGGGGAGGCAGACTTGTGAAAAATTACTATTTTATTTTGCCAAAAATGAAAAATACTACTTAACTAACGAGAAGAAAATTAGAACTGGATGAGAAACAAAAAATTTTACTAATTTAGATAAATTGTTTCGACGAAATACAAGCACCAAAAAGTTTAGCTTCCATCAATGCCTCCGAAGAACAAGTTCTTTTTCAACAGATCATCAATCGATTCAAGAAAAAAAAAACAAAAACAAACGGCCACATTAACTGGGAGCCTTGGAGCCCAAGCCCTAAATCTATGTTTTAACAGTTCTCTAGTAAAGTTCGTAAGAAACAGAGACATTACCCAATTATAAGAGACAATACACAATCTGCAGACACATACTCAAACACCAGATATAACCAGTACATAGGGGATTGATTTGCGAGAAATTAATCGATACCTGCATCCATTTGGCGGTGTGCTGGCCGATTTGGTTGCTCACAAGACTCAGATTTCTAGCCGAAGATGGAAATTTGGAGGAAGATTCGATAATCGTTTTGAACAGAGTCGACGCCATTGATCCACCGATCAAACGCACTGCCGGAGACAGACGAAGAGGAAGAGGGAGCGCGAAGGAGAGCTGCGGTCAGAGCGAGCCAAAGCCTAAATTATGAAAAATGGATTTTGCCTCAAAAATTAAAAATAATTATAAGATTACATTTCAAAAGATCAATTAGTATTTTCCCTTTTTTTGTTTTTGGAAATAGATCAATTAGTATTTTAATTTAGGTTATTTGTTCCAAAATCCAATAGGGAAAAAAAATAAAAAAATTGATTCGATCAACTCATATCATAATTCAACAGCTAATAAAGTACTAATTAGTTATTACCATCTAAAAAATCGATAATTTAAYTTCCACTCTGGATTTGTATTAATTTTACCACTAAGTTAACTTTATAATGATTAAATTAAAACGTTAGATTAATAGTTCACTTTTATAAGTTAATTTTAAATGTTACAAACTATAGTGAAAGAAATCTTATTTACTTTGCGAGAAGATTGAAACATTTTTCTCTTAATTCTTACATATATTTGGTTGATTTTCTAATCGATTGAAGTATAAACAGTCATTTTCTAGTTGTATAAACTTAGTTCAACAAATTGGTGTTCAATCCTAGTTCTTAAACATATATTGAAAAAAAAAAAAGAATCTATTCTAGAAACTACATTTAAAAGTTGAACTTTAATTTAGAAACAAACTGAAAAGAGAAATGAAAAATATGATACAATCTTAGATCAAGCAGCAACATGAAGATTACACTCCAAATCGCTAATATTCCCTTGACAACTTCTTCCAGCACAATAAATAATTCTGTTCACAAGCTCATCAAACTTCCTCCCAACAGTTTCCAGATCCAACCGATGTCGTTTTTCGGCATAGATTCTGCTACTCGTATGTCACTAATTACTAAACTAAGCCATCTCGGTCTGCAAATTCCTTGATTATGTGCAAAGTCGGCTCAGCTAGATTACAGCAGTTAGATCAGCTGCTGTAATCTTTCACACACACGTATCTTTATCGAGTTTCAAGTCTTCGATTTCCTTAAAGCAACCTGGGACGGGATGTTTCTGCTATCGTTCCAAGGACTTTGATGAATATAATGGTCCAAGAGCCATAGATTAGAGCTCCTTCATGCATAATATTCATATCTATTATTCCCTATAGGTGCATCTTCTCAACTCCCTTGGCTTCTCGGTCGACGACAACCTGCTGGTAACGTAACAGTGGACCAGATCACTGAATAAGCTCAAGCTTTAAGCAGTCTCTAGCTTTGATCCAACTCGAAGGTCTTTCAAGAACAAAATGCTCAAACTTTTCATGGAATTCAAAATATTCAATGCTTCAACCTCTTTTCCTGCAGMCCTATAAAAATGCACGGCTGCACTCATTATAAACCTGTCTCCTTCTGCATATTTCCATGTAGATTCAAAGAAATTGATGCCTTCTTCGACGTATCCRTAATCCAGGTAACCTCTCATCAAGCTTCGATTGCACGTAACATCGGGATTTAAACCAGCAGTTCGAAGTTCATCATAGACTCTTTCTGCTTTCCTTATCATCCCTGCCTTTGCCAAAGCTGAGAGCAACAGGTCGAAATGCGCACAAGATGTGGGAATGCCTTTTTCCTTCATAGAGTTAATGACTTCCTCAGCTTCCGAGTATTTGCAACTCTGTGTGTAAGCTCGAATGAGTGAGAAGTAGGAAACAGAATCAGGTAAAAAGCTGTCTTGCTCCATAGCTCTGAAAAGCTTCTCTGTTTCTTCGTGAAGCCCCACGGTAGCATATACATTAATCATGATATTGTAGCTGACCTGCATTTTTAAGTAGAGAGTCAGCACCAGATTTGTAATCAACACAATTCACAGGACATGCTAAGATACCAAAGCAAGACCAGTCACTGTATAAAGCATMTCATGTGCGACTCGAGATGAAGTTAACAGCTAACATCCATGTCAGTTTCTCTCYCTTCGACAAAAATCAAAATCATCCTCACCATTTTACAAAGGAGGTTCTYAAGGCAAAAGTGTATCACATGTTTGTTATGACAAGTAAATCTGAGCATAGTTAATSGTTTAAATACATTTCTACTTCCACCCAAGGATCAATCCCTACCCGTGATGTAATATTCTAAAATGAAAAAAAGTTCAAACATCAGAATTCACGAGTAGAAAATAACACAAAGAAACAGATGCTTTGCAATTGTATGGAACTGATGCACACTTGCACTAGAGTTTCTTGAAGAATAATGAATCTAATCTTATTAAAGAGRCCAGCACCTATTTATAGAGGCTGCCAGAGAACAAAATACGAAGTAAAGACAAGTTACCGTGTGGTAACTACTAACTGAACTAAAACAGAATATAAGAAACTAATAACTCAACAAACTTTAAAAATAACAGCTAGCTACTACATCAGGAACAGTCACAAGCACTTCAAGTTCTAGAAGCTAATCTTTCTTACTGTACAAGCCTGAGAGAACGTATGACTTATGAGATTACCATCCCGGGTTTAATCCCTTCTTCCAGCATTTCTTTGAACAGCAAGCTTGCTTCATTTGTCTTACCTACAAAGTATAACGGTGAACTAAGGATAACAGAAATATGTTGATTTGTATGAATATCATTACATTTGATAAGAATTTATATGATTGACAGTCTGCTTAAATTAGTACCAAGGCAAGCCCAAAAAAGTATCATAGACCATGGTAGAAGTTCAATGATATGTAATTTATCTTATAGGATTAACTTCATTTGAATCTGGAGTAGAATAATACCAGCCTTCCCATAGCAGCTAATCAGGTTTGTGTATGCCTTCTCATCAGGAGAGACGCCTGAGCTGCGAGCTGCATTAAACATCTCGATAGCCTTATCAAGCTTCCTACCACGTCCATAGACACTGGATCAACAAAAAGCCGATATTAACAGCGACGTCTTTTCCTATTGGATGTGGCAAGAAACCTCAATAGATCTTTTAGCTATTAGTTTAAATGAACTCGGAGTCATTTCAACTCATACCTAATCATGGTGTTGTACGTCTGAATTGATGGAACAATGCCAAGAGCAATCATGTGCTCAAATATTTTGGATGCAAAATGCAGTTTACCTGCAATTTAGAACATCATGTTATAATCAGAGTGAATGTTCTAACAAAAATTATTCATCACTCATAATTAATTAATATGATAGATGTTTAACCTGCCTCCAGCATTGCCTTGATAAATGTATTGAATGCCACTGTATCAAGCTCCAAGCCACATTTAATACTAGCACGTATGACATTCTCTGCCACTTGATGTTTTCCTGAAAATAATCTAACATATAATAATACAACCTCAATATCAAGAAAATGCATAGGAAATTCTAGAATGCAAACCCAGATAAACCATAATGTTTAATTGGTTTAGATTATGTGACAACTCTTAACACARTATATAGTAACCACTCTATGGGTTAGGTCGGGTTCGGTTTGGCAGTATCCATTCCACCAAGCCAATCAGCATCAAGCAGAGCAGTCAGCTCTAGCCTCAACCTCTAATCACTATGAGGCATGAGCTACAAAATTTTTCGGCGTTCAAWGGGAACTTCAACCTGGCAATTAGCTCTACGGATCTATTATAATACTATGTCACAGTTSGTAAAGTTTATTTTGCTCAAATATTGTTATGTGATTAATATAGCTTCTGTCTGTATGGGGAAAGAAASTTGTGTCAAAAACTCTATATAAATTAATACAGATTAATGTATATGAAATTTTTACAACCAGTAATTTCCCAATACTTCCACTTAACCAGTCATTTCATTCTTTTTTTCTTTTTAGCCTTTTAAATCATTTAAGAAGAAAATGATTTGAGCAGCTACAGGAAACTAATCGAACAAGAGTAACCAAAAGCAGAGTATGCTAATCTCTTTTATGATCTCCGTAACATACCACCAATAGTCAAAGTATTCACTATTCTGCTGACAGCAACAGCTCCAAGATCATTCCCTTTCTYGATTAGTTCTTTGTAAAGCGTGTATGCTTCTTCTGCTTTATCACATTTGGTATATGCATCAATCATTGTACCACAAATCAATTTTGATGTGGAAGAATCTGCAACTGCTGCAAAAATTTCTGCTGCTTGRTTTATTTTCTTCTCCTTCCCATACAAACTAATTAAGGAAGCTATAGTAGCATCATCTAGGCGGCAATCAAGATTGAGTAACTCTTTTGTAAGAGTTCCTGCTTTAAATGCATCACCTATAAAGTAATGAAATCAGTCAAGATTGCCTTCAACTGAAAGCATAAATATAAATCCATAAAAAATATTAACATACATTTAAAAATAAAGTGCAAAATATTAATGTACAAGAGAATCGAATCATTTTCTTGCCTTCTCTAATCAAATTAGTTACGAGTTGACTCACAACCATCATGCCACCTTTCCCAAGTATTAATTTCAGAATCTTGTTCCTTTTACCAACATCGCCATTTGCCAAATACAGCCGAAGTATCATTCCAAGAGCCATATAATCTGGTTGATCATAGCCTACAATTGCATTTTCTTTTATATCACCTCCATCAAGTTTAATCATAAATGAAAATGTCTCCACAAATTTATTATCAAGAAATGATTCATCCTTTCTCATAACTTCAATTAAAATCTTAGCATCTTTTAACATCCCCTCTTTGCAATAGACTCTCATAACCAATTTATAAAGTTCCTCATCAAAAACTACCCCATCCTTTCTTATCTGGGCTATAAAATCTTTAGCCTTTTCCACCAKGTCTAGTTTTAAATACAAATTGAGAATATTAAAACAAGAACGAGCATCAGGAAGTCCAGTTTTGGATAAAGCTTGAAATGTGGATTCCACAGACCTTATATCTTCTTTCATAACATAACACTGCAATGAGACTATATAAGAAAACCTTGACAACCAAATGTTTCTAGATTTCATCAACTCAATTATGTTTAAAGCTTTCTCAAAGTTCCTTGAACTGAGATGGACTTGAGCCATTGCCAAATAGCTTTTCTCATCTGTGAGTAAACCCAGCTGCTCCATTTCCTCAAACGTTTTCTGGGCGTCCTCATAAAGACCCAGTTTTCCATATATTCTAATAAGTAATCCATATATAACTTCATCAACCACCACTTTTTTGCTTTCCATCTCCAAAAACAGAGAAAGGGCTTTGGAATAATCTCCATTCTTGTAAAACAATGTCAGAAGTGAAGAACAAGTGTAGTTACTTGGAACGATTTCCTTTTCTCTCATGTCCTTGTAGAGTMTCAAAACTTCATCCGAGTTCCCTCCTTTTATGCTTAAACTAATAAGCAGGTTATAAGTCACCTCTTCAGGAACAAACCCACAGATCTTCATATCATTGAAAACTTTGAAAGCCTCCTCACTATGACCTTCCTTAACAAGTGAGTTGATAACTACTGTATAGGTAAATTCATTGAATGTCACTCCTATCTCTACCATCTGCCTCCACAGTTCATGGACCTTAGCATGGAGTCCCTTTTTCTGCAAAGAGGACAACATAAAATTGAAAACAGCAATAGAAGGTATAATTCCCCTATCCTTAACAGCAGAATAGAAAGACAACATAGCCTTATGATGTCCCCATCTGGCGTATGTACATAACATTGTTCCACAGGCAACTTCATCCGGTTCTAATCCAACTTCAAGCATCTCCAAGAAAGTTTCTTCAGCCAGCTTTATTTTTCCAACTTGCCCATATGTGCGCAAAACAATTGTGTAGACAATGACACTTGGGCGATAACTCAACTGTCCAAACAGAAGTCTACTATTACAACATATACAATCGATGAATGCTTCATGTCAAACTATCATGTAATATCAACATTCCAAGAAGAAAMCACAAGGGGCTCAACAGAATTTGAATTTAATCAATATCCAACAAAATCTATAAGTTCAAGTCACGTGTTGCGAATTGCGATGATATTAACTGAGACTGCAAAATTTGCACACTTGAAAATTCGTTTGTAGATCTACCTAATTCAAAGATGGGGATAATATGATCAAGTCATTTCCTCTCATGCTAAAGGAATATGTTAAAAAACGAGACATTTCTTTTTTCTTGATATTCGTTAKTGTCGAGACCAACTTGTACACTTCACCTCGACTAATCTCACAACACAGCTAATAAAAAAAAATATATAATTTTTAAGTCCTATATGGGTGATGGTGGCGGTCACAATTCAAACTCATTCCCTCAAAGTCTCTTTACTCTTTTTACTACCACCCTAGTTGTTAAGAACAAAATTTTTCATAAATATAGAAAATATAACCCCACAAACATTGCCCATAAATCTTTATAAAAAATAAAGCAATAACATTCTAAACCATGAAGAAGATAGAATTCCAGAAACCCCACCTGCAATTTCATCCAATCAAAGACATCTCTGRCCTGCCTCCACCCCTTCTGCTCCTTAAGCACAGTACACATCTCCCTAAAGGTCAATTTTCCCACAAAAGAAGCCATCTCCATCCTCATATCGTACTCTCCCTCACCTCTCTGCGACAAACTCCGCACGTGCCTAATCGCCGCCACCACATGCTTTCCATAGAGATGGCCATTTCGATCGTCCTCAAGGTACTGCACCATCTGCTCCGGAGTCCTCTTAATCCACTTCGGCGTTTGAGCTCTGGGGCCCTGATTTCTACGCAGAACACTGAGGTACTGGGCCTTGGCCTTGATGATTCGGCGGGCGTTGTYGTCGGAGAGCGGCTTTTTGGCGTTTTTGGACCTGGGTTTTGGCTTTTCGGGATTGCCATCGCTGAGAGACCACGGGTCGGGAGTTACCGATGAGTGGATGATGAAAAATTGGGGTTTTCTGGACTCCGATGGGCAGCGGCGGCTGCGATTTGAAATGGGGGGGAGTAGAATAGGAGTGAAGAATGAAGTCTTGAGAGACTCCATTGAGATTTCTAAGAAATTTGCCGCGAAATTTGTTGCTCGTTCGGAGATATCTGGAGTCGAGGTTTATTGGATAATAGAGAACTGTGGAGTTTTCAGTCAGAAGTTTCAAATTTCCAATTTTCAGTAATATCAAGGTTTTATTTTTAATTGTCATCTAATGTCGAGGTGTAAATTTTATGGCATGAAAATACGGATAAAAATGTTATTTTTGGGAAAATAATAAAAACAAAAAATATTTAAAAATTAAGAAAGAAATATTTCAACATTTTAAATAAATTAAAAATGATTAATATTAATATTACGTCTATGTTTTTTATTTATATTTTGTTGATTTTTTTCATATCTTGTGGATTTTTTTAAAATACTATAAAAATRTTAATTTATCCTTCGTGTGAACTAATGGACACATGAAAGTGACAATAGAAATATCGACGGAAATTTAATACCTTGAGTAAAATAGGGATAAAAGTTTTTTTTTTTTACTAAATATATATTTTAATCCTAATGGTTTTTCAATCTGGTATCTATTGTTTAAAAAGTTTTAGTTTGTCTTTTATATTTTAATATTTTTCAATTTAGTTTATCACTGTCGGTAAATGTTAAAATTGAAGGATGATAAACTTACACAACCTATGATACTTAGTAAATTGACAAAATTTTACGATCGATGATAGAAAAACTTGAAATTTTTACCAATTTCTTTAAAATTTGAAAGGGAAAATACAAAATTAAAAAGAAGTCATTCAAAGTGTGGGATTGACTTCCCTCCTTAATCCATAGAAGCACAATAGCTTAGTTGAGTAGAATCGAGGGTCGCATTGGTTGTTACATATCATTTTTTCAACTTCATCGATGTTAGTAGATAAAACCTAATAAATTTCTCCCCAATTGTTAATGTAATTACAATAAATTTGTTTTGATTTTGATTTAGTAGAAAATGATGTCTAACATAGTGCCCTTAGGCTATTTCTATAGGTTGTTGTCTACTATTTGACATTAATTATTTTCAAAGGAACAAAAAAAAAAGATTTCACATATTTTTCATATACTAAAGGTAGAATTGAGAAATTTAAAAGATTAAGGATCCGATCCATTGAAAATTACTAAGAAAGTAGAGATTATTTGATATATTTAACCTAAATTTTTTAACTAATTTGATCTTTATTTCTATTTACATGGCAATAAGCTAGTGCTGAGTAAGATTTGAGAAAATGGTGGGTTTTAGATGGATAGAAAATAATTCAATGATGATTTGTGAAATTCAAACTAATGAAACAAATTAAAACTTTTAAAATTATTAAGGACGGAATTGAAACTAAACTAAAATTATAATAATCAAATTTGAAGGGTCCAAACCATAGGAGCAAAATTGGTAATTWGACTTYGAAGCTCTTTTTTCTTACAAGAGAAAATGAAGTCTTTGAATTAAAGTTCAACGTAGTTGCAAAAAATGTGTTGATTTGGTTAGTGTTCTTTAAAGAACAAAATTGGCAGAAGGGTTGATAGTGATATGTCTAAATCCAGCTAAAAATAAGAGAATATTCTTATATAACTTTTTTTTTCTAAAGTTCAACGAAAGATATGTTCTGAATCAACTTTTTGAAGCAATTCATAATTATAAAGAAATGAAGATACGAGAGGGTGGAGATTCGAACGTCGAACCATCTTTTTGGTCGATGATATATGTTTTAATTAGTCGAGCTACGCTCTCAAGTTAGCATATTCTTAATCGACCTTACTATAATTTGAAAATTTTTTAATATGCTTACTATATCGTACGTTGATCCTACTTKATGAGAACTAAKGCAGGGAAAAATCCTTCTTACGTTTGGAGAAATATTRTATGGGGTAGAGACCTTTTTGTTARAGGGTGTAGATGGAGAGTTGGGAATGGAACTGCAATAACTATTGTCGAATCCATGGATCCCAAGGGATGGGAATTGTGTGCCAGTTTTCGTGAAGGAGGACATGCRAGCGTGTCTTATTCGAAGGGAAGGACAATGGAATGAGACACTTTCTGTGTTGAGGAGGYATAATTGATTATTAAGAGCTCGTTTGGTAACGTTCTCGTTTCTTATTTATGTTTTTTCATTTTCTTGACAAATTTAAGTATTTTGCAACTAACTATATTTCTTGTTTCTCCTTTTTTGGGGACATTCTAAAAAATGGTATATAAATTTTAGAAATAATCAAAACAAATTTATTCTTTCTTATTCTTATTTCCAATTTGTTCCAAAACATGAATCAAAAAATTGTTTCATCATACTTTAATCCATGGATGTTGGGACCATACAATTCATTTTTCATTATTAGAAATGGAGAAACAGAAACAATAAACAGAAACGTTACCAAACGAGCCTTTTAATACCTCCACTCATCATAGTTAGGTCCAAAAGAATTGGTGGAAAATATTATGGAATATCAAAGTACCTTGTAAAATTCAAATTTGTCGTTGGAAAAGCTATCAACATCCTATACAATCAATACATGAAAGGAGTGCAGCCAAAAACTTTAAATAATAATAATAATAATAATAATAAATTATGTGTTATAATTTAGAAAGGGTTGCGTAAGGAAAAGAGTGACCAAATAGTCAATGGGCTTGCTTGATAATAATTTTTGTTTTCATTTTCTAGTTTTTAAAATTACTTATATACTAACAAAATCAA